CTTGAAATGTCTCCTTGACAACCTCACACCCATAAATCTCAAAAAAAAATCTTGTGAGAACCCACAGGTATGCATCCTTCTACTCCCATCAAAGACTCTTCAACCCAGTTTTGACAAGTCTGAAGCCATGAGAAAGAAGAGGAGGTAGGGAAATGCTGATATTTAAATTGTTTGCACTGATGTGAAGTACTGGTCTGGCTCCTATTAATAACTTTCTCTTGTTTCTACCACATTTCACCATCTTGCATTTCTTGGAGCCTCCTCTGCTGTCTATATACAGGTAGTCCCTAAGTTACAACTGGGCTGCATTCCAACCACTCCATCATAAGTCAGTTCTGGCTTAAGTTGAATCTGTCTCTTTTTCTTTTAGTTTTCATTTTTATTACTTTTTATCATCAGTATCTTTATAAATTCAATCTTTCTTTGTCTTTGAACATCTGTGAGTGAACATTTGAGAAAAATAACATGAACAAATTACACCCCATAACAATGCATGTAGTACTCATGATAAGATGCCTGAAAAACAGCAACAAAAAAGACAGTTGTGATTCCTCATAACTCAAAGTACATCATAAGTTGGGGACTACCAGTACCTTGGGAGCTCTGGTGGCATAGTGCCTAAGGAATTTGATGGCTAACCAGAAGGCTGGAGGTTCAAACCTACCAGGCATTTCTCCAAAGTAAGACTGGGCAATCTATTTCCATAGTGATATCACCTCGGAAACCCAAGGAGGGGCCGCTAGAGTCAGATTTGACTTGAGAGCAGTGAGTTTGGCCTTTTTTTTTTTTTGGTACCTTACATTGCTGTAGGTTTTTTATGTTTATCAATAGTTCTCTCTGACAAGAAAAAAGAAAGAAGGAAGAAATTGCCCTCAAAATGACAAAACAGAGTTCACATACACATTCCCTAAACACATAATAAAAATGATTATAATTCACTGAAACCCAAGCATTTTCAGCTTTATGTAAAAGATAACCATACAGTAAAGAAACAATTTGAAGGTGAACAGGCAGTTCTACAACTGATGCAAATTCTTCCTCTTATCTTCATTATCCATGCATAATAATGTCCATTCATGTATGTCTAGGGGGACAGTGGAGTTTTCAGGGCATTTTCACTGTATTATCTCATTTGCTTTAAAGAATAATCCTCTAAGATAAGTGAGGCAGCATTATTACCCACATTTAGAGATAAGGGACATCAGAAATAACTTGATGAAGTAAAAAAAAAAAAAATGGCTGGGGAATCAGACAAAGGTGATTTTGAATTCCTGCTTTGTCACAGACAAATCTCTGTGACTTTGAACAGGCTAGGTAAAATGTGTAATCTCCCTGTTCATCTTCTTCATGAACAGGAATAATACCTCCTATGTTGAAAGTAAGGGAGCTCTGGTAGCGTAGTGCTTAAGGCACTTGACTGCTAACCAGAAGGCTGGTGGTCCAAACGCACCAGCCACTCCTCGGAAGGAAGATGGGACAATCTACTTCCATAGTGATACTGCCTCGGAAACCCAAGGAGGGGTCGCTATGAGTCGGGTCCGACTTGACAGCACATAACAACAACAACAACATGTTGAAAGTAAAGGAGCCCTGGTGGCACAGTGCTTAAGTGTTTGGATGCTACCTGAAAGGTCAGGATTAGAACCCACCAGCTGCTCCTTGGGAGAAAGATGTGGCACTCTGCTTCTGCAAAAATGTGCGGCCTTGGAAATCCTATGGGGGCAATTCTATTCTATTCTAAAGGGCCAATAGGAGTGGAATTGACTCAACAGCAATGGGTTTTTGAACATTGAAAGTAATGAGGTTTAAATGAAATATATGTAGAAGAGCTTTTTTATACTAACTTTTCTTCCTAAGACATAAAAACCCTTCCCAGACAGGAAGTAAGTGGACCAATGCCCGAAATTCACATCTACCCAAGTGTTCTTTCCCTCCAGCCAGCTGACTTTTTTCAGATTAATGGTGCTCACACCTGAGTCAATGGTTACCTTTTTCTCTAAATTGGTTGCAATATGATCCTCTTAAGATGATGATTCTGAGTAAAACACAGTCTCTCGATGTGAGAGTTTTCATTGCATGGTTAAGGACACTGTTGTTGTTGTTGTTGTTGTTGCTTGCCGTCGAGTCGGCCCCGACTCATAGCGACCCCTCCTTGGGTTTCCGAGGCAGTATCACTACGGAAGTAGGATTGCCCAACCTTCCTTCCGAGAGGAGTAAATAATTATTAATAGCTACCATGGGAGTTCTATCACCAAACAGTTCTCTGACCTTAAATCAGGGATATTGCAATTTTAGGTTAGCCTGATTGTGCCCGTAAAACCACCCCATCTCTAGCTCCTCTGCTGATCAAGGGTCTGTGAGCGTACCACTTCACTGCTGAGCATCCACTAACAACACTGAGAGATACTGAAGCCTACTCCAAAGAAACTGGGCTCGCCATTGTCTGACAAAAACACATACTCACTAAAAGAACAAAAAAGTGTCCTAACATTGATTTCAGCATAAATTTTCAATAGGGATTCTTATTTAAAGGTTAATCTACTCACATAATTGGGTTCTTATTTAAAGGTTAATCTAGGCACATAATTGGAAGTGTTTTCAACTATGCTTTCTCAGAAGGCAGGGGAATGATGTATATGCAAATATCTCTTACATTGTAAGTCCATAAAAATCAGAGACATTTCCAAAAGAAGCTAAAATAGTTTAATGTAAGTCTTAGCTTTTGCTACCTGGCATGTTGTTGTTGTTGTTGTTATGTGCCCTCGAGTCGGACCCGACTCATAGCGACCCCTCCTTGGGTTTCCAAGGCAGTATCACTACGGAAGTAGATTGCCCAACCTGGCATAGTATTTGATTATCTAATAGAGAAAATCAGTTTAGTAAGAAATAGCAATGACAACAATAATTATTTACATACATTTACATACATATAGAGAGATCAAAGGAGCTCTGATGGCATAGTGCCTAAAGCATTTGACTGCTAACCAGAAGCCTGGTGGTTCAAACCCACCAGCCACTCCTCCGAAGGAAGATTGGACCATCTACTTCTGTAGTGATACCACCTTCGAAACCCAAGGAGGGGTCGCTGTGAGTTGGATATGACTCAACGGCAGTGAGTTTGGTTTGGTTTACAGAGGTCAAGTAAGCCCTGGTGGTGCAGTGCTTAAGTGCTTGGCTGCTAGCCGAAAGATGGATTGTTCGAACCCACTAGCCACTAAGCAGCAGGAGAAAGCTGTGGGAGTCTGTTTCCATAAAGATTACAGCTTTTACAGAAGACTTTGTGGGACAGTTCTTCTTTGCATTATAGGATCACAGTGAATTGGACCGAATGGCACACACACACACACACACACATTTATATGAACATAAAAATTATAGATCTTCATGTGTTTATTTTCAAATTTAAAAGACCAGGGTCATTTCTTTGAATAAGGGTCTGTCAACTAAAGTCTAAGAAGATAGAATTTGCATAATGATGCATTATTTGTGATTTTTTGTTTCAGATTTTTCTTTCTGTATATCTTTTTCCTTTTTGGAATGGATAGAGAATTTAAATCATTTGAAAAGCAACCTAATGTAGATAAGTTTGGAGCAAAAAAAAAAACCTACTACTGTGGTTGTCATTTGTGGTTGAGTCAGATCTCACTCATAGTGACGCGACCCCTTCTTTGGGTTTCCGAGGCAGTATCACTACAGAAGTAGATTGCCCAACCTTCTTTCCAAGGAGTGGCTGGTGGGTTTGAATCACCAGCCTTCTGGTTAGCACTAACTTTTGTTAAGGAATAGCTCAGTGGTGAGAACAGATGGATAGTAGCCTGCTAGGTATAAGTATTCAACATTCCATGGGCATTAGTTAATAAGTTTCTTCAAAGCAAAAGAGAAATATTGGTCAAGCAAAGGGTGAGTTAAGTGGAAGCCAATTAAGAGAGCACCTACTATATGTCCTGTGTATATTGATGATCCCATTGAAGCTCTTTAAGAACATCAAGAATATGCAATTAAAACTGTTTTTATTGTTTCTTTCATCATTAATGTCTTAAGCAAAGTCAGAGCTGAATTCTTTGATGAGTACTTTCATTATTGTTGCTTGTGGTAAGAACTTCATGTTTAAGATATTAGTGACAGAGTGGACATACTTTTGCTCAGTGGAGGAACATACCACTCCTCCAGAGATAGGCTGCAAGTTTGCTTTGGTGCAGGGCCAAAAAAAAAAAAAAAAGTTCTTTGAGCATACCCATGCACTTAGAAAAGTACTAGAATACAGCCTCAGATTTCTGGGTTGCGAAGCATGGAAGAGATATTCATTCTGAAAAATCTAAGTGTCTTTATGTGCCATCTTGTCCTCACTCAACTCTTGTGTGATTCCTCTGGTGTCTAGAATGTCACTTCTGAATAGAAAGTTCTTCATTCTAATAAAGGATGGTCCTATCAGAATACAGAGTGCTGGTGGTTAAGTCCTTGGCTGCTAAGCAAAAGGTCAGCAGTTGGATCCCACCAACAACTCAATGGAAGAAAATTGTGACAGGCTGCATTCACAAAGACAGCAGGCTTTGAAACAGGGGGCAGTTCTACTCTGTTCCATAGGGTCACTAATTCAGAATCAACTGGACAACAGCTGGTTACTAGGATACAACTCAAATTATGTTTAGTCAAGCACAGTGTGGTTCATGTCCAAACTGAAGAAAATCTCTCTCCACTATTTTATCAGTTACACTTCACATGCTACTCAATATTTAGAACACACTTGCTATCTGAAAGGTTTATACAATCCAACACTGGATTTGAAACCTTAAGTATATATATGCAGCTAAATCAATTGATCTTTATGTGATCCCTATGGAGAAACTTTACTTTGAACACTGGGTTTGGGATGTGGTCTGACCTTTCCTATATTGTTTTGAGTCTGTAGTTTGTGTAGTTTATTTTCTTCTTTTTTAAAAAAGAAAATATAAGTGAATAATGTAACTAATGCTTTTCATGCATCTTTTTTGCTTCTGCAGGAGGGATTTTTGAAACTGTGGAAAATGAACCTGTTAATGTTGAAGAATTAGCTTTCAAGTTTGCAGTCACCAACATTAACAGAAACCGAACCCTGATGCCTAACACCACATTAACTTATGACATCCAGAGAATTAACCTTTTTGATAGTTTTGAAGCCTCACGGAGAGGTAACTATTTTGACACTTTTAAAAGCTTCTTTGGGTGATATGTCTACTCTACAAGTCACCTTTTCACTACTTGACCTTTTTCAAAGTGGACATCTATGCACAAATGGGTTGCAGAAAATTTCAGTCCTCTATGTCACTGACCAGTGCAGTCTGAACTAACCTAATGTATGTTGCTTAGCACTGTTTTCTAAGCCTTTCTGATTAGCTTACCCTTCAGTGCCCTCCACTCTATGATTAACTGGTTCAGCTGTGAATGGAAAATGTCAAGCTTGATCTGTTTTTCCTTCCTGAAGCTGAGATACCACCATGAAATTGTACAGTGCAGTTAAATAAAACTTTGTGGAAGGTCATATCCACCTAATATGTGGAAATGCCCATGATACATATAACTTACACCCTGAATTTTAACAGGTTGTAAACTACTGAATTCATATAACATCTTTTCAATATTCCTCTTTCTTTCTTTCTTCTTTCCCCAAGATCATAAAAATGTGAGGATTAAGCCTATGAGATCAATCTCTCTGTATTTGTTTTCCCTTATCTTCTGAGTGGAAGACAAGAGCCTGAAAGTGACCTAATATATATGTGGACTGCAAGGCTTCTTTTATGGGAAGATTCATTTGGAATTTTCCAGCTTGTGTAGACATCCCCCAGACTCTTCTAGAACTACTCCTTCAAGCACAGTCGCATTCAATATAGTCAAAAGTTGGCTGGTAACAAGGGTGCTGTCAGCCTTCTAGATGGAGGTTTTTGAATGGAAAGAAAGGCTGCTCATCATCCCAAGAATAAGAGAGCTCTTTACTGTATAGAAAGGAGCTCTGGTGGCATAGTGGTTAAAGCCTTCAGCTATTAACCGAAAGGACATGGTTTGAACTCACCAGCCATTCAAGGGGAGAAAGATGAGGCAGACTGCTTTTATAAAGATTTACAGCCTTGGAAATCTGATGAAGCAGTCCTACTCTTGACCTATAGGGTTGCTATGAGTCAGAGTCCACTGACTGGCATGGAGGTTTTGTTTTTTGGTTTTATCTCATGGAAAGAGCCTGGTGTCACAGCAATTAAAGCACTTGTTTACTAACCAAAAGGTGGGTGGTTCAAATCCAGTAGCTGCTCTGTGGGAGAAAGATGTGGCAGTCTGCTTCCATAATGATTTACAGCCTTGGAAACCCTACAAGACAGTTCTACTCTGTCCTAAAGAGTCACATTGAGTTGCAATCTACTCAACAGCAATGGGTTTTAGATTTGGATAACTTATAGAGAAAGAACTTGCTAATTCAGAACACTTCAGCACATGGAATATCATCAATGTTATGTTCATGCTTATGTCCAAGTTGTTTCCATATAGCATTCACCTAGTTATATTGTAGGATGTGTTCACCTAATACAACCTTATGCAAGAATTCTTATGTTCTTCACAAACAATCATAAAACTCCTTTTTCTAGGAGCAGAGAGGACAACTGTGTAAATGAAATTATTTTTTTTTCTATCCCTGGCTTAAACTTAGTATAAGAATATTTTCTTTTTTAGGATGCATAGAGTTAGAGATATTGTATAGGTCAGAGTGGTCTATAAATAAATAATGAAACTTTATGTTGTTGTACATCACTTTAAATTTTACAAATCATTTCCACATACATTATCTCTGTGGATTAGATCTTTCTCTCCCTCACACACACATTGTTGAGCAAATACCTTAGAAAGCCAACCACATTTAGCAACTGTTCTTCAACCCACATAAAATTTGAAAACTTTCTTATGATTTGAAGTATCTGCCATGTTTGTAAATTAAACACCCCCAAAGCTCTGGTAGCATAGTGCCTGAGGCACCTGATTGCTAACCAGAAGGCTGGAGATTCAAACCCACCAGCCATTCCTCAGAAGGAAGGTTGGGCAATCTAGTTCCGTAGTGATACTGCCTCAGAAACCCAAGGAGGGGTCACTATGAGTTGGGTCCGACTCGAAGGCACATAACAGCAGCAACAACAAAAGCTTCTTAAAACTGGTAATTGGCTGGCAATCAGAATTCAAAGGATTGATTTTCTGTCAAGTAATATTAGCATACAAAAGCTAAATATTAGCAGGAATCTCAATCCATTGCTCATGCTAGATAAAACAGCAGTTCATATACTCAAGAACTCTTTTTTTTTTTTTTTTCCTTGTCAACCAGTGAAAACACATCCAGAAAATCAACTTCTAAGGTAAATGACAATTTACCATTATACCATTAGGTATAATATAGTAAACTATATATTTTTATACCTCATGTAATCATTCACACAGCATCAGGATGTAAATGACTATCAACATTTGCTGTCCCATAGATATTTAGACTACAGGTATCAAAATGTTATTTATTAACTACTCTCTGTATACTGAGTCAAGTAAATTTTATAAAGCCATATAGTTTTTCTACTTGCTTTTATTTATAGAATGATATTATCACAAAAAGTAATAAAATTTTATTGATAAATTTTGTTGATACATTTAGCTATTATTGAATTCTGATATTCAATTATTATCTCTCAGCAGATCCAAATTTTTTAAAAATAATATTAAGTTGTAAATTTGACAATATATTTAAACTTACATTTAACATCTGCCCACATAAGATGTGTAGCCACCATTTTACATGATTGAGAGGAGAAACTATTCCAATGTTTCTGGAAAGGAATTTGACAGTATATGTCAAGAAACTTAAAAATATCAATACTCTCTAGTTACAGCTAATATTCAAATCCTGAAAATCTACTCTAAGAAAGTAATCTATGATTCAGAGAAAAATACAAGAACAAATATATTAATAATAGTATTATACTATGGTTTACAATAGTAAAAAATTAGGAGCAAATTGAATGTTCACTATTATGGGAATGGTTAAACAAAGGATGATATATCCATGGAATGGGCCATCCTACAAGCACTAAAAAATATATTTCTGAGGAATTTATAATGACTTGAAAAAAGATGTTACCCGGTTAAATGAAGAAAGCAGTTTATCAAATTATATTTATATAATTATTCTATTTTTTTAAATAAATTGAAACATCTGATTATCAATAGGTATTATCCTAAAATTATCCTAATATTACAAGACATTTTTTTCCTTTTTTATCCTTTTAAGTATGCTAAATTCCTTCAATGAGTATGTATACTACCATAATGAGAAAAAAAATACATACTGTAAGTATTATAAATTGTTTTTTAAATGCATATCAACTTAATTGTATTAGGCAATATGTTAGCTGGTACACTGAGGTAGAGAGAGACCTGACCCTGAGCTGGGATTCCTGGCTCTTGTTCATACATGCCCACGTCCTGTGGTCATGATTCATTCCAATGTCCATGAAATGAGTGGGTTGGAATCAATGTCTTCCAAAATCCCTTTAAGCGATGCTTTTCATTATTCTGTAATTAATTGGGTATCAGTACCACATATGAACATTCACTAGCAGTATTTCAATAACCTGGGGCTCTTTTTTGGGTTTTGCAAAGACAAGAGTTAAACTACTTTACAGTCACCCAGAGGGTCTATCTCCTGGATTCTGAGAGCACATTAATATTTTCATGGCCACGCTGCCAAATGATAGAACTTAATTCATAAGTCCATTTGGCAAATGGTTTATGAAGTAGCTCTGAATGCTCCTGGGTAAGACCATACCTAGCAAGGGATTTAGACTCCATCTGATTAAAAGTAATGAAGTGAAACCAGTGATTCATTTTTATTTTCAGAGAGTTGGCGCTATGATATATTGTTAATCAGTTCTGTCTTTATATCTATCAGTAATTTAGTATGTCAGGAATACTGGAAATGGGACCAAGTATATTTCTTCAACATACAGATGGGAAGTGGGAGGAAAGTTTTCATTAGTGACTAAAAAGAGGAATTGTGAAAGGAAAAATTAAATTCACAGAGCTTTCTCTTTCTCTTCTTCTTCTCTTCCCTCCCTCTCCATCCCATCCCTGTCCCTGGACATTAGCATGTGACCAGCTGGCTCTTGGTGTGGCTGCTCTGTTTGGTCCTTCCCATAGTTCCTCTGTCAGTGCTGTGCAATCTATTTGCAATGCTCTTGAAGTTCCACACATACAAACCCGTTGGAAACACCCCTCGGTGGACAATAAGGACTTGTTTTACATCAACCTCTACCCAGACTATGCAGCTATCAGCAGGGCAGTCCTGGACCTGGTTCTCTATTACAACTGGAAAACAGTGACCGTGGTATATGAAGACAGCACAGGTATGGGACTCACACAGAACAGGACCTCATCTAGTCAAGTCTGGTTTAAGTAAAAGGAATGAAAATGTTATATAGGTATTAAGATCACCAGGTGTAGTGCTTAAAAAATGCCCCCTTATATGAAGCTGTGTTTCCTGAAGAAATTTTAGAATGCCATGTACAGCTAACTCAAATTCTTATTTTTAACTAATCCTTTCTAATGATCCTTTCATCATCAAATGTAGAGAGATTCTTTAAAGAAATACCACCTTGGTGATATTTACTGCAATCCAACCAAAATATTAAAGCTGCTGTTTTATTTATCCAACTCTATTAAGACTGTGGGAGTTCTGGTAGCATAGTGCCTAAGCTAACCAGAAGGCTTGTGGTTCAAACCCACCAGCCACTCCTCGGAAGGAATATGGGGCAATCTACTTCCATAGTGATACTGCCTCGGCAACCCAAGGAGGGGTCTCTATGAGTCGGGTCTGACTCGAAGGCACATAACAACAACAACAACAACAACAACAACAACAACCACATTAAGACTGTGGTCACAATTCTATTTCTTACATAATTCAGAGGAAGTTTGAAAATTACCATAAAGTAAAATTCCAAATTGATTTATTGCTATATAAGGGTTTAGAAAAGTTTCTAAAGTTGATTAACAAAGAGGAATTCAGTAAGGAATTTTTCAGTAAAGCTAACTATTTCCTGACAAAGTGATGAAGCAGCTCTGGTTATAAACCCTTAGTAAAGTGTTTGCCATTGCACCTGCTTGTTTTAAGATGAAAGGTGGAAATCTTGGCCTTACTAGCAACTATTTAGCAACATGTCTATTTGTCATTAAACTCTGCCATTTGATGCTGCCACATAAAGTGACTGCTATGGTTGGATAGGGAACTCTGGTAGCATAGTGCCTAAGGCACTTGACTGCTAACCAGGAGGCTAGTGGTTCAAAGCCACCAGCCACTCCTTGGAAGGAAGGTTGGGCAATCTACTTCCATAGTGATACTACCTCAGAAACTCAAGGAACAACAACATGGTTGGATATAAGGAGCTCTGGTGGCACAGTACCTAAGGCATTTGACTTCTAACCAAAAGGTTAGTGGTCCCAACCTACCAGCCACACTATGAAAGGAAGATAGGTCAATCTAATCTACTTCAGAAACAATTTACCACCATGAAAACCCAATGGGGGTCATTATGAGTCCGACTAAATAGCAGTGAGTTTGGTTTTTTGGTTTGAGATGGTTGGATATATGCATTTAAGGATTTTCTTATACTTCATCTCATTTTAGAAAGAAATGAAGGTCGGTGATGGGACATATAATTCATAGATATTAATTTAAAATTATAATATTAGAAGAATAATCCATAGGTAGTCATATTTTTAGAGATTCATCTGCTTGCTGTGAAGGAAGCACACATATCATCAAATGAATCTCACAAGCCTATAATATCTTAATACTGCTTGACTCAAGGTTCTGGGTAGCAGTAATTTCAAGCCATGAGATAGAATATTATATTTTAAATGTAAGTATAGTTGGATCTTCCATGATGCTTACTTTTGCTAAATAGAAAATTCTATGAGCTTATAAAATCATGGTATTTCTTAGTCTGTGATGGTCTCTGTAGCAAATCTTCTCTCATAATTTCTGCCACTGATGGCAAAATGGGATCACCTAAAAGAAAACCAATCAGTGAATGATGTTGAAACTTCATTTCATTAAAGAAAGATTTAAGAAAGAGTTCCGGTAAAGATGCAGCATAACAGTTGTAGGTTTTAAATTATATTTAGACAAACTATAGTGTGAGAAAGAATGTCACAGAAGATGAAGTCCTAACCACCTTTGTGATTCTGGGTAAGCCATCATAGGAAATGGCCATTTTGTACAATAGAAAAATCAAACTACCATTTCTATCATCTTTTACAAGAAATTAGAATGGTTTTCTTTATCTTTGTGAAGTTATTCAATAAATAACTTCAATATTTATTCAATAAATACTTGTTGAAATTAAAAATCCAAAGTGATTTTGTATGTTGCCCATTAAGTTACATATGATTCATGATTTCAAATGATTTTGCCCACAAAAACATTAAAAACTGTAAATGAATAATCAATTGAGCCATTTGTTTGGAACCCAGAGAGTAAACAGGTCAAGTGAGACCAATAAATGAAGACATCTTGTGACTTTGAATGAGTTTAATACTGCTTGACTCAGGGTTCTGGGTAGCAGTAATTTCAAGCCATAAAAAGGAGAAAACTTACTAAACCTGCAGGAAGAGAAAAGACCTAGGTGTGCTCAGCACCCGCTTTCATACCAGTTAAGTATCCATTAAAGAGCACTTTATTGGGATTGGTTTAGGAGTTTGTTCAATAGCCTGAAGCTAGCACAGATGTCGTGGGACCAAATGGCCCATTACTTCCATTGAAGTCAATGGGAGCAGCATGCAAGTCTCTCAGGATGAAATTCAATTCACTAAATACTAGTAGGCAGAATTCTGTCCTCTAGAAGTTAAAATATAAAAAGATTCTAGAGAACTCTTTAAGAGCAGGGAAGTTTGTCTGGTCTCATCTTTCTATTCCCTGGGTGTTCTTGCCATCACTTAGCTACTTCTGATTCTGGCATTACAGGTAAACCCAGACAACCAGAACTTGTTGTCCATTGGCCATCCACTGTATTTCATTAGACCCCTGGTGGAAGTCTGGTCTAGCTTTCATCCTTTCTGATGCATCAAAAAGAATGGGAAGCTGAGCACCAAATGCAGTGTGGAGTATAGTAAGCAGTTTCTGCATTCTCAAGACCAGTGGCAGTGAAATGTAGCTACAGCCATTTCTGTAAAATAAGGCCCAGCAAACTTTTTCTGTGTGGAGTTGGATAGTAAATAGTGCAGGCCATATCTAGTTATATCTAGTCAACTCTGTCATGATAATGAAAAAGCAACTACAGACAATATATAGTATGTTTAAAAGTTTCATTTTTCTAGAATTATAAAAAGAAACATTAGAAAATGTTCAAATGATGAAAAACGTAAGTACATAAACAAAATATCCAGGAAAACAACCACATGTACCATTCTGGTATATAGTCTTCTAGACGTTAGATAGATGATTGGTTCATTGATTAATTTATAAATAGATTATATATATCCATCTGTACATACATACTTGCATACATATATACATACATACATGCATGGATAGATAAATGCATAGATGATCGATAAATGGGTATAGAGAGAAAGATAACAGATTATCATAAATAATAAACAAATAGATGACTGATGATTTCACTCAATAATGATGTCTGATTCTGCCATTGATGAATGTTTATTGAGCACTTACCATGTTCCTGGCACTGTTGAAAGCACTTTCAATATATTAGTAAAAAAAATAGACAGAAAGCCCTAACCTCTAGGTTGTTGGTTTCTATAAGCATCATTTATTTGTACTATCTAAAATCAATTACCTCCTATAAAAGAAGGTGATAAGTGCTATGGAAGGAAGAAAAAGTAGAGCAAGGTGAGAGGATTCTGGAAGTATGATTTGCAGTATTCAAAGTTCTGCGACATTGTGAAGATGAAATTTGATGAAACCATCACTACCAACAGCTGCCATCAAGCTGACTCTGACTCATGGTGACCCTAGCTGTGTCAGTGTAGAACTGTGCTCCATGGGGTTTTCAATGGCTATTTTTTTTTTCAGAACTGGCTTGCCAGGTCTTCTTCCAAGGTTCCTCTGGGTGGACTTGAACTTTCAACCTTTTGATTAACAGTGAAACACATTAACCATTTATGTGACAAAGGAGTGAACTATTTGGTATCTTGGGGAAGAAGGTTCCAAGAAGAGACAACAGCTAACTTAAGATGAGAAGTTGCCTGGAGTATTAAAGAAACAGCAAGAAGTTCTGTGTGGTTGGAACACAGTTGGAGAGGGAGGGTGGTAAGAAAGCAGGTAATAGAGTAGGGCCTTATAGATCATGAAGGGCCTTGTAAACTATTGAAGAACTTTAGCTTGTACTCTGCCTGAAGTGGAAAGTCAAAGGAGAGTTTAGGGTAGAGAAGTGATATGAGTAGATTAACATTATAAAAAGATCATTTCTCCAGTTATATTGATAATACATTATAGGGAGGCAAGGATAGAAATATGGCAACCTGTCAGGGAGCACCTACAGACAACCAAGCAAGAGATGGAAATTACTTGACCAAGATAGAAGCAGTAGAGAAATAAGAAGTGGTCAAGTACTAGGAACATTTTGAATGTAGAGCTGGCATGAGTGGAGGCCAGATAAGAGAACAAGAGGTGTCAAATATCACTGTAAACATTTTGGCTTGAGTCAAAGATGGAGTTGCCATCACTGGAGATGCAGAAGTCTATATTGAAAAAAAAAAAAAAAGAAGAAGAAGAAGAAGAAAGAAAACTATCCCACTGCTATGGATTCAATTCCAACCAAGGACAACCCTATAAGACAGAGTAGAACTGCCTCATTGGGTTTCCAAGGCTGTAAATCTTTACAGAAGCAGGCTGCCTCATCTTTCTCCAGCAGAGCAGTAGGTCAGATAGAACCTCCAAACTTTTGTTTAGGGATCAATCACTTAACAACTGCACCAGGCTACATTATAGGTGATCTAATTTGAGCAAATAATAGCAATATCAGAGCTCAGTCATGCATGTGCTAAGTTTGAGTTTGAGATCTACTAGACATCCAAACGGAGGTGATGAATAGGCAATTATTATAGATGTTTAGAGTTCTGGAGAGTAGTCTGGGCTAGAGACAAAACTTGAGAGTCCTCAGTTTATAGAGGAGCTCTGGTGGTGCAGTGCCTAAGGCATTTTGATAGCTAACCAGAAAGTTCATGGTTCAAACTCACCAGCCACTCCATGGAAGGAAGATGGAGTAATCTACTTCTGTAAAGATTTATGACCTCAGAAACCCAATGTGGGTGGGATGAGTCAGAGTTCATTTGATGGCAGTGTTTTTGTTTTGTTTTGTTTTATTTTAAGCTTACACATGAA